GCGATGTCATTGGAACTCTTCGTCAGGTTGGTGCCATGTGATCTCTCCCAGGGATCTGTTATGTTAAACACAAACCATCTGAACTCTCTGATTAGATTCCAACCTGGAACTCGCTCATGGGTATTCATTATTTTATATAAAAAACATCTGAACCCCTTGATTAGATTTCAACCTGTACCTCACTCCTGGGTATGCATCAGTTTCACATACAAAATAGGATTGTTTTGCTTTTAGCCTAAATATAGCACGCGCGCACACACACACACACACACAAAAACTAATCTCATTAAAATCACATTGAAGTCAATGGTAGTCCATACGGGTGCAGAGGTGACTAAGGCAGACCACAAAACACATCCTCTCCATGAGAACAGACCTACTGCATTTCCCAGTCAGACATTCACATGTCCAGAGGTATTGTTCACAGCTCAGTAACTTGTAGCCATTTAATCAGCAGTCGTAAGGAACGGCTGATATTTTATCTCCAAGCTCTGGGCAAAGGGCATGTCTTTCGCTGAAGAAACTATCAAGCCCTTGGCACGGTGACGGGGCAACTCTTACACTCAATTCTCATGAGTTTCCTGAGGCCCCTCTCCTCAATGATGTAATCACAATTAATTTGCCTTCTAATAAACTTTCTCTGGCTGAGGTCCTTGCTGTTTCTAATGTTGCTTTAGTAATATATGCCACTCAGGTTTTAAGACCTTAAGAGTTATTCAGCCACACTCCTACCCTCCCCGATCCCAGCCCCAGCTCGGGTCCAAATCCCTGACTATCCAGCACCTTGGGACGTCCTCCCGATGTGAAAGGCGTTATACAAATGTAATTTTGTATTTGTATTGCATTGTTATTCAGTGTGGTGTCCGTATTCTGCCTGAACACTGATTTAATCTTTATCATCTCCCGACGTGAAAGACGCTGTATCAATCTTGTTGTTGACCCATCTCTCACACGTGCTTGCTCTAAGCTAGAAGCCATTTGGAATTGGACCTCCCATCAGCTGTGCCTCTCCCATCACGGAGAAGGTACGGCAAAGCTCTGCGTTGTGGCAACACTGTATTTTAATATAATGAAGACGGGAAGGAAGCAAGGATTATTAATGATGCAAAGAACAAAAGCAAAATCGAGGCAGCGATGATAGCGATCTAAGAAAAAGGAGAGAAGAAATCATTAATTTCCTCTTTGTCGCCATTATATTCTCCTAAAGCGTTGATGAAGTGTCAGAGCATGTGGCTTAATTGTGTCCCTCTTGGATGATGATAAATCCTCGCATTTGGTTCCAGCGCCTCAAGTCGTGAGGACGTCTCAAAGCGCCTCACAGGATTTGACTATAAAGTGTTGTCACTGCCTATTTTGTAGGCAAACTACTTTAGCTGTTTGGCTCTGGTACAGAATATTATACAGAGGAGGCATTGACCTTGCACAGACTGCATGCTGAAACCATCAAGTTATGCATCAGGCCAGGCCAAGAATAAAGAACGAAGGAAGAGATTATCTGGCCAGGTATTCGTTCTTATGGAGTTTAGGTTTGCCACAATAATAATAATCCTCGCATTTGATACAGCGTCTTATCACGTCTTCAAGGTGTTTCAAAACGCTTCACAGCATACAGTGTAAAGTGAATTGACTGTATATTTTGTGGGCAGCCAATTGGGATACAGTGTATGCGAGGTGGATGAAGTGTGTGAGGTGGATGCAGTGTGTGAGGTGATTACAATGCATGCGATGACCTCTGCCACATTTCCTGGCAACCTGTTCCAGTTGTTGATTAACAATTGTAATAATCCCTGCATTTGACATAGCGCCTTATCACGCCTTCGAGACGTCTCAAAGCGATTCACAGAATGTAAAGTGAGTCGACTGTATATTTTGTGGGCGAAACGCGGCAGCCGATTGCGCACGGCAGCGTCCCCACAAACCGTCGTGAATTGAGTATGTACGTAGCTCGCGTGATTGGGGATCTTTCTTCCCACCAAGACGCCCTAATGGAGTTGCTGTTTAACACTGTGTCCCTCAGGAAGAAAGTTACAGAAGAAGAAAAAGAATTGGGACCTTTCCTGTCATGCGACTTCACGGTATTTTTTATTGGAAAAACCAGGTAAACAAAGGCTAATTGGAATCGGTTCCTCTGCTGTTAACTGCAACCGAGCCCTGCAGTTTAAACACCGTCCTCCACAACAACAACAACTTCCACTTATTTATTGCCCGTCACGCAGGGTAGAGTCTCAGAGCGCTTAACAGTGGCGGAGCCTGACTCCGACTCCGTAAGCACCGTCGAAGAGGAAAGTTTTCAGGCGGGACTTGAAAGAGGGGAGAGGGAGGAGGCAAGGTGGAGGGATTGAGGGAGAGTGTCTGCGGTGCACATCGGGGCAGTGAACGTCCTGCTTTTAATGCATAAAAATGCTGCGTAACCAAATGGGATCCTGTAATATTGGTTAATGTGATTTATTGGTATCCAAGTGCTTTTAGAGAGTTCCACTTTGTTTTGTTGCAGTTTCTGAGCGTTCCCTTGGGACGGGCGGCTTCTCCTAATGACGTAAATCAATTTCCCTTTTGAAAAGGATTCTGAATTTTCTCTCCCCTCAACTCCTGAAGATGGGGGACTCGTTTAACCCCCCCCACAAACAGAAACTTCTAGCCCTCTCCCCCTCCGCCCCTGTTCTCACTGTAACAAGACCAAGGAGATGCCACTTGTGTTAAATAGACTGTTTCCCATCAGTTTGGGGCGCAACTATTGATCCGCTACTAAAGCTTTTCAGTCATTGTGAAATTGCTGTCAACACAGTTAATCAAACACTAGATTACATCCCAAGCGTATTCGACTACAAGTCAGAAGAGGTTACTACTCTACATTGTTGGACAGGTCTCTGGTAAGACTACATATTGAAGGTTGTGTGTGAAAAGGTCCGGGGGGAACCTGACCTGGAAAAAGCAAATTTCACGGAATCATTCGGGAGAGGCAGCAGAGAAGTTAAAGGATGAATTAAATAATGAGACTTCACAGTTGGACTTGTTTTACATTGTAACAGAGATTGAGAAAGAGGACAGGATTTAGGTCTTTGAATCACTAAGGGACACGAGAGCGAAGTCGAGGAAGGGAAGAGGTTTTATTATTTTGTTTTATTTTCCTGAGAAGCTGCTCTGCTGACAAGACACTGCCTTGCTCCGGCGGTGGAGTTGCAGCAACTCTCAAGCCAGGCAAACGGTGCCACCTTGTGATCATCAGCAGGCCTTCACTTTGTAAGCGCGTTTCAATGCCTATTCTCCCAAGTACTGTGGGTGGGGGTAAAAAGCAGGAAAATGTGAATCTCAAACGAATCAATAAAGATCACAAGATTGATCTGGATGAAGAAAGCCCTTCGGCCTGTGCGATCTCATCCCTCCAGAACACCCACACTACCGCTCAACTCCCCCGTCCCCACCCCATCAGCTTGCTTTTTAAATGAGTCTAATGTTCTGGCCTCTACCACCTTTCCCGGCAACCTGTTCCAGTTGTTGCTTAATAATAATGATAATCCATGCATTTGATATGGCGCCTTATCATGTCTACGAGGCGTCTCAAAGCGCTTCACAGAATATACAGTAAAGTGAATTAACCGTATATTTTGTGGGCGATTACCTTTGCAAGTAAATTTAGCTTTGAGCACTCTAACTTGCTGTCAGAGGGGGACAGTGAAACATGTCCTGGGAGGGGAGTTGACATTTCATCCTTAGATATCCTTAGCAGCAGGATGCATCCTCAATGCATAAGGAGCAACTGAGTTGTGTTCACATCACACATTGCTGAGGTGTGCAAATCACGCTCTCCCTCACACACAAACACACACATATATACACACACAAGTGGAATGGCATTATGCTGGGGAAGCTGCAGTCAAACCCTGCTTACGACTACAGAAAGATTTGAACATCAGCCAACTCCCCATTCGGTTGCCCCCGAATAGCCTCCATGTACCAGTGCAATCTTTACCTGAAGGAGTAAACACGAGCATCTTTAAGCAAACCCAAGCACGGTCCCTTGCTGATACCGCCAGGTTAAGTGTTAACTGCGGATGAGGGAAAGGGCTTTGATTCACATATTCAGTTTGATCTGCAGCTCTGAGCTCAGCAATCCTCACAGCCCAAACCGAGCGCCAGCAGCTGACACTGGAATCAATATTGCAACATAGAAACTTGTGTTGACTCGAGACATTTTCTTCCCCCTCCTTCGATTCAGACTCTTCAGCACTTTTCCCTTCAAAAGGACCATAGTCCTGGCCTGGGATCTACAGATCCAGGCAAAACAAGTGAAGGTCTGATTCTCAAGACTCTCCTTTTTGTGAAAAATGTTTCATTTCAGCCCTTAATAATGAATTTCCTCTATAGCCGTGTGGAACAGTCTAAGCTGAACTGTTTTAAGGAAAAATGAAAGAAATATCATTTAACCCAAATAACCTTGTTTTAGTTAAAGGCTTACACTGCTCCAATATGAACACAAATGATAGGCCAGCTTCGATTCCACTGCCTGGGATTGGACACACGCAGCTCTGCTGCAGTAACCCGCGCTGCATTACAGGTACAGCTGCGCTGGAGCATGAGGCAACTGCATTGGAGCATGATACTGCTCACTCAAAGTCTGAGCCGTTGTAAAAGTAATTCCAGCTTCTGAGAGCAGCAGACAAGGGACACACACACACACACAGGAACACAAGCTACACACTCACTCAGACACGCACACACGCTCACAGGAGCAACAGCTACACACACACATACAGACATGCACACGCTATCGCAACTGCTTTTCTGTGATGCCTGGGCCCTGTTACAGCCAACAAAGCCTCGCATCTGCCGGCAGCAATCAGGAGCTCCAGTGCAAGGTTAAATGGTAGTTATAGACAACAACCACCCACACTAACCTAAGCAGCAACTGCAGCAGCATTTTAAATGACAGCTACCGGATATGAACCTTGCTTAAATATTAACTTGTGTATCGGCCAATTACAGAGCACTGAAACATTTAATATCAATTACATTTTTTACTCCGCTTAGAAAGCAGTTGAAGAGAAATCATTCCCCAGAAACACTGGATTAAAATAAAAATAGTTTTGTACATCGGCAAAGCCTCACTGTAGCCCTCTGCAAAAAAAAAAAAGCTCAATTTCCCCCCTACGCCCCCAAAAATATTATCTTGTAGAAAAGCATGTGTTGCTGCACTCCTTCTGCATTCCGTTCCTTTCCCCGAACGACGTAGATACTCGGGCACAGTAGTGGAATTCCTCAAAGAAAAAGCTCCAGAAAGTTTTGTCCATCCAATTATTCATTTGGCCCCCAAATTATTACTCGTTTTAGGTCGCGCAGAAACCTGCCTGAAATAGGTGGGACATTATTAGCAGAGCGACAGGAAGGAAGTGTTCAGTGCTCAGCAGTTCAAGGCTGCACCAGACATCACATCAGATTCATTCCATCCTCTGGTTCACATTTACCTGCAAGTAAAACATTTCCATCAGCTGAAATGCTATTTGATTGATGTATTTGACTTAAAGCATCAGTTTATTGCAGTTTGGAGATGGGCATCTTGTTTGGGGGGGTGGGGAGGGAGTGTTATGGTGGTCACTGGACAGCGATCTAGAGCAGTAAATGTGGCTGATCTTTCCCACTCTTCCCGAACCAAGAGATGCTGAAGCCAAGTGAAGCGCTGGGATAGTGCCAGTGGTGAGCTAGTGTCTGTGCAGCAAAGAGTAGAGGAGCAGCTGTACTAGTGAAGAGTGACAGACAAAGTGCATGGAGGTTACGACAGCGAGAGAGGGAGAGAGAGAGAGGAGCCTGAAACTGAAGGAAACTCACAGTGAAGCAGGGCAAAAAGCATTTGCAGAGGCTGCGAGTCAGCAGGAATGTGAGCCACTGTAGTCAACGCTCCTGCAGTGAGAGAGAAAGCAGGAGATCAGGGTGTCCGCTCACTGCATTCATCGCAGGCCTCACTCACCCCAATCTGTACGCACGCAGGCAAACATGCACGGAATCACAAAGTTGTACACTCCCTATCCAACACTCTATTTAAAGTCAAACAAGCCTTCAACACTGAGAGGCTCCCAAACCCAGTGCAGATAATAATATTATATTATAATATTAATAATAATACATCACAGATAGCCTGTGATGTGTATTTGCCTTCAGTGTGCCCAGAGGTGCTGCTCTCCCACTCTTGAGCACTTTTCCCACACCTCACTCCCCCCTCCACTCACCTCCTTACGCTTTTCGCTTCAAATAAAGTTGTATCATCATCTGTATCCATTGCCGCCATCTCCACGTGATCGTCGTAGGAAGAGAGTAGCCCGTACTTCTTCCTCTGCGTTTTCTTTAATCTATTTTAAATTGAAATCATCTATTAATAATAATGGCAAGCAGGCTGACTGGCCGTAACGAAGCATTTCACACTGCGTTTCCGCACAGACTGTGGGTCAATAGGTTCAGTGGAGAGCGCACCCTGTGGGCTGTTCTGCTTCAAAACATCAAGGATGAACTCTTTCACGATTAAAACTTGCAACGAGTCCAAGTTCAATCAGTCAGAGCCAGGAAAGCACAGTGACCTGACTCTATCTCTGAGCATCCACGTTCACCACATTCACATCTTATCTGATCAAACCACTTGTAGGATATTCTTGTGCAAATCGAGTCTTCAGCCACTGTGTCACAACTCTCTGGAACTTCCCCAAATTCCATTTGCCTGCTCAGCCCTCATTAAAAAGAAGATCTCAAGCTTGTTTGCCTCAACCAAGAAAATTTATTTTGTCAGCCTCGGCTCAATGGTAGCGCTGCTCAAACTGACCCACCCACAAAATACGCATTCACTCTACTTTACAGTATATCTCGTGAAGGGCTTTGAGATGTCTTCGACGATATGAAAAGGTAACTCTATCAAACGCCAGGATTATTGTTGTTGGCCGATCATAAAAGTTGACCATCACTGGCCCACAGCATTAGCGCAAAGTAGCGAATGTGGAGTCCTGTAGCTCAGTGGTTAGAGCACTCGCTTTGCAAGTGAGAGACCTGAGTTCAATTCCCGGCAGAGGACGAAACCTTGGGCAAGTTTCCTTACTCCACACAGAGCCTAATAATAATCCCTCCAAAACCAAAAACAATAATAAATCGGTCACTTTCAATCCACGACTGTCTGTGGGACATTACTGTGCGCAATTGGCTGCTGCGTTCGCCCACAAATATACAGTCAATTCACTTTACAGTGTGTTCTGTGAAGCGCTTTGGGACGTCGAGAAGACGTGAAAAGCGCTATATCAAATGCAAGGATTATTATTATTATTATTATAATAACTGGGGCTTTAACCCCCAACCTTCTGACTCAAGAGTCAGAGAGAGACCGACAATAATAATAATAAAGTTGGGGGTTGGGCCTTTGAGGGTTGGGGCCTGGTGGCGAGGGGGGGGGTTGGGGTCTGGGGGTGTGTGGAGGAGTTGGGGCCTGGGGGAGGGGGGGGGTTGAGGCCTGGGGGGGGTTGGGGCCTGGGGGGGGGTTGGGGCCTGGGGGGGGGGGGAGGGGTGAGGCCTGGGGGGGGGTTGAGGCCGGGGGGGGGGGGGGGTGAGGCCTGGGGGGGGGGGGGGTGAGGCCTGGGGGGTGAGGGGTGAGGCCTGGGGGGGGGGGGGTGAGGCCTGGGGGGGGGGGGGGGGGGTGAGGCCTGGGGGGGGGGGGTGAGGCCTGGGGGGGGGGGGGTGAGGCCTGGGGGGGGGGGGGGGGGGTGAGGCCGGGGCCGGAGCCTATCACCTGATGCTGCGGAGGCTGAAGTACAAGATGCCGAGGCCGCTGAGGCCGAGCAGGACATAGAGCGCCCGGTGCAGCATGGAGGAGGCCGGGAGCCAACCGTGCATCGTCGTCGTCGTCGTCGTCGAGTTGCCGGTGTCTGCGGCGGCGGCCAAGCGGCCGAGCGCGGCCAAGAGCAGCGAGAACGCCACCGGCTTCATCCCCTCTTCCCCCCCTCCACCACCACCACCCGCCGCCGCCGGCAACAGCTGGAGCTTCCGACCCGGACCCGGACCCGCCCGCGTGTGACACCGCCCGCGTGGCCCGAGCGCAACGCCACAAGCGCTCCGGCGGCTCCTACCCTCCCCGGACACAAAGGGCCGGGGGGGGGGGGGAACACACACACACACACGCGCGCGCGCGCAGTGTGATCGGATTGGGGGCGGGTTTCTCGCCCCATTGGGCGGGTTTCGCGCCCCATTGGGCGGGTTTTTCTTGTGCTGCTTGGATTTAAAAAAAAAGGCTGCCCTGACTTACCATTTCTTTTATTCATTCAAAACCTGTTTTCTTGACACTTTTGGAGGGGTGGGGTGGGGGGCAACGTGAACAGGTCACTTTTGTTGAAAGGCATCCGGTTCACAGCCGCTTTGGAGAGCAAAGTGCTGTCCATCCCGCACTCTCCCGCGGGTCCAGACACTGGCGCGAAAGCTCCTTCTCCTCCGCCCCCAACAATATATTTTAATCCCATCCTCAGTTGAGCACGCAACCCTCTTCCCCCGTCCAACGCGCCAATTTGATATTCTCGATTGCCCCCCCAACCCACCCGCCGCCACCACCAGCACCAACTGGCAAGCTACCAGCTGCTTGTCAAGCTGGGATCACCCCACCCACTGGAGCTTGAGCTTTCGGGGTTAACAGGAGCCGAGCGGAAAGAATCCTCGCTCCCGGTGACTGGTCCGCCCCCTCCAAGTCCCGACAGAGATCCCGCGCTGGCTCGTCCAGCAGCAGCGATGCCTCGGAGTACTGGCAACCAGTCCGGACTAGGACCATCTCCGCAGAGGATCAACTCGATTCTGATATTCCGTTGCAAATCACGTCTGTCACCTTGGAGCCGGCTCAGCCCTTCCACACCACCCCCACACCCCCACCAAAACATGTGGGGCCAGGCCTAAATGGGCACCTGTCATTAACCCATTTCCTTTTTTGTGTGTGTGTGTGAGTAAAATGTTGACCTTTGTTCGATCTCTGACTTTCTGACTGTTTACTCTGGTGCAGCGCACTGATAAGATTGGGCGAAATCCATTCCTTATCTGTTAAGCACATGTTGCCCACAGACATGAGTCAGTCGTCATCAAGGAAGCAAGTTCCCATCTGCGTGGAATGTACACATAACAAGGGTTGCCGGTGGGAGGATTTTCCCTTCAACATATACAGTCAAATTGCTCAGTTATTATTTTCAGCAAAATCTCTGGTTCCAGCTATCACTGTTAGAGCTGGTGGTGGGGGGGCGAAGGGAAACACAGTGATGAAAATTGCTCACATTGGCCAATTCAAGATATGCACTGTGCAGATGCAGCGAGTGACCAATTTTATTTGGAGGATTGTTCCTTTGCAACTGCTGCCTATCTAAGTTTCCTTACTCCACAGGCCTGATAATAATCCCTCAAGAAAAAAAACAATAATAAATTGGTCACTTCGATCCACGACTGTTTGTGGGGACGCTGCTGTGCGCAATTGGCTGCCGCGTTTCGCCCACAAGTTATACGGTCAATTCGCTTTACGGTATATTCTGTGAAGCGCTTTGAGACTTCTAGAAGACGTGAAAAGCACTGTATCAAATGCAAGGATTATTATTATCATTATTATTATCTGATGCCTGTTGTCTGGGCTTTCACACAGGAAGAATGACAAATAGCAGGGATCACAAGGAACCCTTGAACAGGATCTTCAGCACGGGCCAGGACTTCAGGAGAGACAGGGGAGATACTGCTGTTTCAATTGTTGCCAGCAGATGGAAGTGTGACTCCTGATTCACTGCGTCAAATTTGTATTGGCTCCAATATCAGACAGAAATATATTGATGAATTTTTCCACAATACCTTACCCAGTGGAACCATCCCAGAGAAATGGGGTTTTAATACCAATAATAAACCTTGGATTTGATACAGCACCTTTCACATCAGGAGGTCCATCTCCCTGTCCACGTGGACGTTAAAGATCCCACGGTATTGTTTGAAAAAAGGAGGAAGTTTCTCCCGGTATCTAGGCCAACAATCCTCCAGATAAAAATTGGTCATTCACTTTGTGGCTATTTATAGGATATTTGCAGCGTACAAATCCTGTGAAATGGTTTGAGATATCTCGACGACGTGATAAGTCTTATCGATGCACGACTTATAAATATCATTATTGTAAGTGAAACAAACAGTGCCAACATCTCTCTTTATAGACTCCCGCACACAATTACTGAAATCTGTAAAAAATAAATTAATGTGCCATTCTGTTCAGACATCTGCATCGATACCGTATCCTACAGACAGGTTTGCCTTTTCCCTTTAAACTGGTTCCCTGCAGATTTACATTGGCTTCATTGCACAGAGTAACTGCTAAATATTGGACGAATGAAATTGACTGGAAATTGACAGGAGATTATCCAGTAACGGACAGTGGAGATGTGATGAGAACAATGGTCCCTGAGCTGTGCATTTGTAAAGCAAGAGCCTTCTATTAAATTATGAATGCCTCTGTATATTGTACCACACATCATTTACAAGACTCATTAAAAGGATGAATCTTGTAAGTTCCAATTACACATCCTCTGATTTTTTTTGCCCCCGTAACAGCTGGATTCAGAGAGCGCGTGTTTCTGTTTCCGTTCCACGCTCCGTGTAAAATGAATCTGAAGCTCACAAACGAAATCCAATTTTGCATTCAATCTCCCATTTGTGTAATTGCAAGGAAATAAATTCCAGAACCGTTCCAACTCCTACATTCGCATCTGCGGTGTTGCATGTGTTTAAGGCGCATTGTTTGGAAGTGAGTGAGTTTATGAGGTGTTGGGTGTCAGGGAGTTGGGAAACCTGCTAACCCAGGGTATACAGTTTCTCAACAGAAGACGTCTTAACTCATTCAGTGCTGGCTTACTCTGGTTCATGGGGCTGCACGTGTCTGTCCCATTCGTTAACAACAACAACAATAATAATAATAATCCTTGCATTTGGTGTAGCGCCTTTTCACACTGTCGAGACGTCTCAAGGCACTTCACAGAATATATTGTAAAGTGGAGTGACTGTGTATTTTGTGGACGAAACACAGTAACCAATGCGCACAGTAGTGTCCCACAAACAGTCGTGGATTGAAGGACCACTTTTTTGGGGGTAGGAGTTGGGTGGGGGGTGTGGGAGGAGGTGTGGGACAGTGTGTGGGCCGCTGATCTGAAAGGAGCGGCGTTGAAAGGAACCTCTGGTTGAACGGGTGAGAGTGTGAGCAAGTTTCAGTGGCAAAGCCCTGTACACATCGCACTCAGGTGTCACATACCCGGCCTCGGTGTGAGGCACAAGCTCAAAGCGAGCGGTGCCGACACCCAGTGTAACATCTGCCGCTCAAACCCCAGAGGACTGCCCCGGGGTGGGGAGGAGGTGGGAGGGGGAAGGGGCACTACACACAACAGCCTTACCCTCACTCTTTCATCTCCTGCCATATAGTTTAACCTTCTCACGACCCTCATTGTGTCTGACAATGTCCTGTGGCCACAGGCCGAGGGGCGATGGAAGCAATAACTAGCCTTCCTGTTTCCTTTAATCCTGTGCTCATTAGAACACAGGACCCAGCAATGGTAGGGAGAGATTTTCTCCCCTTGTGACAATCCGAAGGACAATATAGTGGTACAAACCGCTACTCACAGTTTCCTTAGCATCTCAAGGATGTGTATATGTGTGTGTAAATGCGCAAACGCATGCAAGGGTACACACGCGTGAGCAGAGATCAGAAACGACTGCCTCAGACACACTTGGGTACCCGCAGGATTCACACGCGAACGCTATTAAAAATCTCTCAAATTAAGGCACCGTTTTCTACTTATTACTGCTTCTGGTCACGTCGAGTTGTTTGCAATTGAGATCTCCGTTAGCCTTAAATCCTGACGATGGCAAAACTGTGGGACTCGCGCCACGATCCACCCTCTATCCTGGTTTGAACTTAGAGGAAAGAGTCTGTGTGTGTGTCTGACTGCGTCTCTCGCTTGTCTGTCTCATTAGTGCTCTCTCTTTAAACCCTTTGTCTGTAAATTCCTCAGTTGCCCTGTCTCTGCCCCTGTCTCTGTCTCTGGCTACATAACCTTTCCTTTGAACCCAAGGTCTTAAATTTGACATTATTGAACACGCAGGATATATATTACTCTTGTTAAACTGCTGATACACGAACCAGGCCCTGATACACTGCTGTACCCTGCATTTCATGAAAGCAGTCTATGAATTAATTTACATTGAATGCATCTTTTTACTCCCGACTTATCCACGATTAATACTTAACCTTTAATCTTAGTTTGTGCTTTCACCAGTTGCAGATATGTGGAGTCAGCTCAACAATAACAACTTGCACTTGTATAGTGTCTTTCATGTAGGATAATTTCTCAAAGCACTCTGCGAAGACTGATAGCCTAAAATAGAAAAATGTCAGAGTTAATTAGGAACATAGGAACAGGACGAGACCATTCAGCTGCTCAAGCCTCTTCCGCCATTCTATCAGATCATGGCTGATCTGTACCTCAAGTCCAATTGCCTTATGAACCTATTCATAAACCTATTACCTATTACCTTATTCACCCAAGTCCCGCAGTCAATACTAGGGCTGAGAGGCCAATTGAGAAGCTGCAGACAGTCATGCATTTTGAACAACAAATGGTAACTTAGGGTTGGATCGGCTGAATTGGAATTTTTCTCACAGGTAGAGTATTGGAGTTAGGCAACATTGACCGCCATTGCAAAAGCATCCAGTGGCCTGTGGGGTTAACCTCGTCCTGTTCCTCCCTTACTAGCGAGAGGCTGTTTGCAGTCTGTCAAGGGAGGCAGCGAAAAAAAGGGCAGGTTTTCAAGAAAGCGTTTGAATTACGGTTGAAACAGGAATAATAGCAGTTCTGCTTCCATCGCACCCCCTGGGCCTGGGGCCGCAGGACATTGTCAGACACCATGAGGGTCGTGAGAAGGTCAAACTATATGGCAGGAGATGAAAGGGTGAGGGTAAGGCCATTGTGTGCAGTCTCCCCCACCCCCTCCCACCTCCCCCCCCCACCCCCGGGGCAGTCCTCTGGGGTTTGAGCGGCAGATGTTACACTGGGTGTCGGCACCGCTCGCTTTGAGCTTGTGCCTCACACCGAGGCCGGGTATGTGACACCTGAGTGCGATGTGTACAGGGCTTTGCCACTGAAACTTGCTCACATTCCCACCCGTTCAGCCAGAGATTCCCTTCCTTTTATACTCTGTTCCTTATTACATCGATCGCCTTCACACAGTCCCAACACTGAGCCGCACCACCGCTGAGATTTGAACCATTCGCATATTCGCTGCTGTATTAAGTCTTAACTGTCCCTTGGCTCCCCGGCCAAAGCTTTTATAGAGTAAAGAAGTGACCTGCCCCCCAATCTTTATTACTTTAGAGAGTAATAAAATAATAAAGATTGGGGTCAAGTCACTTCTTTGCTCTATGAAAGGTTTGGCCTGGGAGCTATGGGACATCTAAGACATAATTAATACAGGAGCAAAGCTGTGCTTGGCATCTCTGACTGAAGCTCAGTCCTACTTAATACCTCAGAGTTACACTTTGCTTCAACCCTATAACCTCTTTTTAATAACAACGGCAGATTCCCTACTATTGCCCTAATCTTCTCAGACCACGACGTAGCACTTTGCTCCTGTCTCTTTTGTCTTGAGTGAGTTGCCAATATTTATCAGCAACCTCACTGTCAACATCAGCGACAGTGCTTCACTGTTACAGTGGCTCCCAGTAACTGCAATAATCCTTGCAATTGGTATACCTGTACCAAATGCAAGGATTAATGCTGAAACATTAAACAGCGTTAACTCACAAGTAATTGCTTTCAAGCGTAGTGGACTGTATTTGAAAGGTAAACAGTATATTTTGGAGGAACAAGAGTTTACTCAGACCACCAAGTTGTAAGAAAGTGACATCTGAAGCACCGTGAAAATGATCGGAAAGTCAAAAAAAATTCATTTCACTTTCTCTCTACAACAGCCTGTCCAGCAGATTAAAAACCCTCTTACGTCGCCCCCTGCCCCCCACATTCCCATAGCCGCTTCTCCTTCACCCCTCAACCTGTCTGAGCTGTTCTCTCAAACTTTCTGCCTTGCCTGTGGCAGATTTCTTTCTTCCTTCCTTCCTGCTCATTGCAATCTGTGCCGAGTTCACTCAAGGTCATTGCAGCTGTGGGAGGAATGTGAACCCAGGTCCCAGAGGTGAAAGAGCAATGTTCCGTCCCACTGAACCCCCTGGTAAAATCGAATCTAGTCATTAATTCTTGCCACATTGATTGTTCGGGCATTATTGCAGCAATCTGATGTATTTCAGGCTTGATAGAGCACTTTGGCAGATTTCTCCAGAGGTTCCTTAACCCATTAAAGGCAATGGTGTGTTCTACAGTCTCCTTGTGGATTAAAAGTACCGTATGTTTAACGTTTTATAGCTTTTTTTTGTTGTTGCAGTTTCTTTTTCGCGAAGGCCTGTGGAAAACGGAGGTGGATGGATGGGGGAAAGGGAGGGGGAACCATTTTCCCCTCAGCCCAATAATTTGGTCACTCAATCCACGACTGTTTGTGGGACACTGCTGTGTGCAATTGGCCGCCGTGTTTCACCAAGAAAATATAGAGTCAAATCACTTTACAGTATATACTGTGAAGCACTTTGAGACGTCTCGAAGACGTGACAAAATCAAATGAATGGATTATTAGTAGTAGTTTTTTTATTGACAGTCATTGATTTGACTTCCAAAACTAAAATTATTGCTTCTGCCAAGAATCTGCACATAAATAATTTACATTTAATGGCAACACAGGAAGCTACAGGGACAGGGAAAAACACAGCAGGCAATCAGCCAGTCACAAAGTTAATAATAACACCAACTGTTACTATAATAATAATAATAATCTCCCATATATATCCCTCAATCTAATTATTGGCAGAATAGTTCTCAGTCAGATTCCCTCTTGAGTTAGCTGCTTTGCCTCCCTCCATAGACTTTAAACTTTATAAAGTTAGTTAAGAGTTCGGCTCCAGCGCCAGCTAAATAATTGCTCTTTTTTCAGACCATTTGTGAAGTTAAAGCAGTTGTTAGTCAATTGGCAGATCGCTTTCCGGGGATAATAACGCGTCCCCCCAAAAAATAACAATAATTCGGTCACTCATTCCACGACTGTTTGTGGGACACTGCCACCTTTTGCCCACAAAATATACAATCAGTTCACTTTACAGTATATTCTGTGAAGCTCTTTGAAACGTCTCGAAGACGTGATAAGGAGATATATCAAATGGAAGGATTGTTATTATTATTATAAACTAAAGCAGTGAGTTATTTCCACACTGGTGAAATACTGGAGGTCTCTGGTGTACGTGCCTTACTCTGTGGGTGGTAGACCTTTACGCACAGAAGCAGCCAGGGGGCACCTTGGTTCCTATTATCACAGCAGATTTATATATTCCCCCTTAACTTTACATAACAATGGGTGTCTCTCCGCTCTGTGTGGCTTCGTAAAGCAACCCCTTTTTTGTTTTGGTTCAGCCTAATGCAAATTGCAAAGCCATTTTTCCCCCTCTTTCCTGCGCATTCCTCCGATTCTAACTTGTAGAATTCTCGCTTCATCACAAACAACGGGCAGATCATTTCTGCAGATGTTATTTGACGGGAAAGTGAGCTGGGCTTCTTTTGTGTGGGGTGGGGCGAGGCGGGGGTAGGGGAATAACCACAGAAGACATTCAATACTGAAGGGATTCCATTCTGTCCCAGGGGAAAGATAAGGCTGGTAGCTTTCAGCCATTGACAGAGGGTTGTAAATTGGGTTAGGGTCAGTTGAACCACACACAGCCTTTAAAGGGGCAATGGGCCTGACCAAATTCATTATTATTATTGAAATTCCCCCCACCCCCACTCTCTTTGTTCCAATCTCAAAAGCAAAAGAGGTCAAGACAGAGACAGGCCAGTTTGATAATCAAAACTCGTCACCATAAGATTTAGAAAGATTCCTGTAGAAGTGTCTCCAACAGTGCTTCTAACTATCCCTTCCTCCCAGTGTGAGCTCAGTCTAGACATGGGATCCAGAGGTGAAACTGGTATTTGAACCCACTGCATCATTCAGTCACTGATAGCTTCATTTCACATTCACACCGTTTCTCATCAGACATTCTCACACTAAAAACAGGAGATGAACAAGGTGTAAGGTTGCAGAGTAATAATAACAATAATTGATATAGCACCTTATCACCCCATTGAGAGGTCTGAATATACTGTGTATTGCTTCATAGACTATATTGTAAAGTGTAGTGACTGTGTATTTCAAACAATGCCACGTTTGGAAAGGGAAGGGTTTAAAGGACACGGTACAAGTCACGTGCACAACACGTTTTTTCTCTTATAAAAAAAGGTTGTCAAGAAAGATTGTTTTCAACTGAGCAGCCATCAACAGAAATAATCCAATTTAATCTTCACTCCACATAGATTCAGAGACCATTATCACTAAGGTCCAACATGTTGGAATTGACACAGCTTGGATGTGAAATTAATATGGTCCTGAATTTTAACCCATAGATTGATTCAATCGGTAACACCAGCTCAGTGTCCTCACTCAGTGACAAGTCCCTGAGTCAATCAGATGTGAAAGATTAAAGTTATTACAAATGAGGAGAAGCTGGAAAGTGGTATTTAGAGACACTGCAGAGACTCAGAGCTTATCAAAGTGGAGAGGAAAGTCTCCTTGAGACTGTTTTATACAATACAGGACAGCGTGGGATCACCAGGTTATTGTAACTGAAAAACACAATGAGGATAACTAATCTCATTGTACCCTTACAGCGTCACCTCTTACGACAACGCATGCAACTGAAACTGAAGCCACGCTTAAAACATCAGCCTTAATATTGCACGGTACACAGTCACTACACACTACATTTCACAGTAAATCCAGTGAAAAGTTTTGAGATGTCCTCCTGAGCGCTACATCAAATGCAAAGAGTCACAGTGTTATTGCGATCAAATGTCTGCCTGAAACACCAACTGCCTTAAATACGGCCGCGATTGTTTTAAAATTATTAAATTAAATGATTAAATCGCTTTACAATTATTGTCATCGTTATTATTACTAAGCCCCAAAGCTTTGGAACTCTCTCCCCCGATCCCTCCGTTTCGCTCCCTCCTTCCTCTCTATTTAGATCACGACTGGAGACCTTCCTCTTCGACCGTGCTTACGGTCACCTCCGCCCTCCCACCGGTTCGGCGTCAGGCTCCGACACACTTAAGCGCTCCGAGACGCTACCCCGCACGAAGGGCGCTGCGCAAACAAACGCAAGTGGTGGACGAATGAATAGAAACCTTAAAAAAAAATGTCCTTTTCTTTAAAATAAAATTTTCTTTTAAATTGAAACGAACTCATTATCCTTTTAGCAGCTACTGTGTTTGGTTGGTGTGTTTATCTGCTGGTTCCCAGGTAGTTTGCTCGCCTATGTCAGGCAGACTAGACTAGACTGGGTCTCTCTCTCTCTCTCTTTAGTCTGGGTCAAATTCGTTTTTTGATGTTGAAGCAAAAAAAAATACCTCCCACTTCAAGAGCCCTAAACCAAAGCTGCTCAGATTACACACAGAGCTTTTATGCCTTATTATCCAATGAATAGTCCCTTCTTTCCCTTGCCTGGTCATTAGCTTCTCCCCCCACCCACCCCCCCATCCCCTTATTCTCTTAAATAATATAGTAAAACTTTATTTTTTGTTGGGTGGGGGTTTTGGGGGGGGTGGGGGGTGAGGGCTTTGGGAAAGAAGGAAGAAAAAAAGGATAAGGGAGAGAGAAAGAGAGGAAAAAAACACTCACACACACACACACCACCACCACCCCCACCACCACCACCCACTCACCCCCTTCCACCAAACAGGAAAGTTGTGGATAAAGCATAAGAGGGGAGGTTGGGGTGGGTGGGGGGGGGGGGGGGTTGTGTGGAGAGAAAAAAACGTTTTTTTTGGGTCAAGCCTTTGGAAAAAATGTTGGGTGTCTTGGTCTGGTTGTGGTGTGGGGGCAGTGGATTGGGGTGGTGGCTTCTGAGGGGGTCCACAAGGAGGACAGTCCAGCCCAGGACACTGCTGGTCGCTCTGCTGTCCCTGTCCAGTGGGGGTCGAGGGGCTTCTGTGCCCCCAGTGAGGATCTCCTACCCTGGAGCCTGTCCCAACCAACTCAACCCCAACCTGTGGGTGGACGCACAGAGTACCTGCGAGAGAGAGTGCCACACGGATGAGGTAGAGATATAAACCCAACACTTGTTCATTTCTTTTATTCTTATTGTAATTGTTAGTTGTTTTGCAGGAATTTCTTTTCTCTCTCTTTCTCTTTCTTTCTCTCTTTCTCTCTTTTTCTTTCTCTCTCTCTCTCCTTTTCAAAGCTTTCTCTGAAATGCTCTGCATCAGAGATGCAATTGATATTGCAATTCAATCCCACGTTTTGAACCGTAAATACTTTTCTGGCCATTTGCAAAGTTTTTCTTGCAAACTTTGGGAAAAGTTTTTAATGTCTTGCAAAGAAAAGTGTGTGTGTGGGGGGGGGGAAGGGTTAAAAAAAAGTGAGATTTTTGAACAGCTCTGTGATTCATATTCTTATCGTCGTTGTTCTTTTTGTTTATGGTTATTATTTATGGTTATGATGTATTGCTGTTCGAAAACTTTTGATCGCTGATTTGTTTAAAATACCACCACAACAATAATAAAAAAATAAGAAATAAAAACAAAATAACCTTAACATTTACAAAAAAAAATTGCGGACCTGGAAAAAAAAACACACCGTTGCAATTCTGAAAGAAGAAAAAAATCACTTTTTAGCAACTCTGTAAATTAATTGTTATTCCTATTTATAACCATCGTTATTATTAACGCTTGAGACCAAAAAAAAGAACATTTTTTTACACAAACTCCGAAAAATAAAGGCTCCCAAAACTCCGGCTTTGAGCATCTCTGTAATTGCTATCATTATTTCTAATGATTTTATTATTATTATTAACCTTACAAGAACTTTTTGCAATTTTTGGAATTTTTTTTTGGGGTGGGGGGGGTGGGAGGTGGGGGTGGGGGGTGGCTTTGAGTTGAACCCTCTTGCATTTCCCAAAGGTAAGGCAAAGCTCGAATATTTTCATTAAATTCAATGTCATTCGTGATTTTGTTAAACTAGTTCACACCTGGAGACAGATTTGCCTTGAACCCCCCACCCCCCCCAAAAAAAAACTCACTCCTACACACACACACACACACACATTTTCTTTGTCCTTCTCTGCATCTTGAAAATTGGGGGTAGAGAGTTTTGATCTGCGGTGACAGATACTGTTACCAGGTATCATTTTCCTCAAGAGAAACAAGTTCATGGGATTATATATATTTTTGTGTCCCCCCCCCACCCCCCATCAGTTTTTTTTTGCTTCGGTCCAATTGAAACATCCAATCCTACAATCCTAAATATTATCAAGCGATTCCAGCCCTTTTTTTGGTTTGTGTCTCAACTGCAATTTGAATTTTCTTTTACGTTTCTGTGGCGGCTCAGGATCGCAACTCGAGTCGCGTTCATTAAGGCAAAGGATTGATTATAATAACAATAATATGGTAATAATAATCCTTGCGTTTGACGCAGCGCTTTTCACGTCTTCCCGACGTCTCAAAGCGCTTCACGGAATAGGCTGTAAAGCGAATTGACCATTTATTTGCGGGCGAAATTTGTGATTATTTGTGATTGTTCTGCTCAGTGTGTGTGTGTGTGTGTGTGTGCGTGTGTGCAATGAAGAAAGAAATCGCAGGCAGAGCAGATTCTGTGTAAGAGTAAGGTTGGTGTGCTTGCCGGCAAATATAACGCCGTTTGAATTGAACCTTTTTTTAAAAACACGTATAATGGATATCTTGTGATGTGATTGGAAATTATAAATTAACCTCATGGGTTAAAAAATGAAAATGCTGCTTGTTTTTTGGCACTCACGCAAACTCGCGAAATGTACCGACCCCGAAGGAGCCAAGTGTCTCTTAAGACCCCACGAGGGCTGCCTGGAATACACACTAGATGAAGCTTATTAGAGGTGGGAAATGAGACGGAAGTGTAAGCTTCATTCTCAGTCTTACGGTCTTCCCAGGTCCTGATCTGTCGCTTATCACACACTTGTGGAGTTCTAAAGCGCATTGTTTAGAGCACTCAACATGGAGCAGGACTATGCCTGCAGTAACCCTTTGGGAACTCCATCCCACAGTCTCTTTGCCTCATTCCCTTCCTTGCCTCCTTCAAGGCTCATCTCAAGACCCTCGTCTTCATTCACCCTCCCTGCCCTCCGCCCCTCTAGTCCTAACCCCCAGCTCGGGTCCAAGTCCCTGACTGTCCAGCGCCTTGGGACATCCTCCCAACGTGAAAGGCTCTGCGTAAGTATAATTTGTTGTCTTCGTCGTTATTGTAACCACACTAATCACCGTACCTTGTCCCTGGCTTTAGGACTGCCAGAACTTTGAGAAGTGCTGCACCAACGTGTGTGGTCAAAAGAGCTGTGTGGCCGCCAGGTTTGCTGACGGGAGCCTGGCCTCCCTGGATGTGCCCAAAGAGGCAACGTGCGAGAGCTTCGTGTGCACCCAGCAGGGCTCGGAGTGTGACATCTGGGACAGACACCCCGTGTGCAAGTGCAAGGATCGCTGCGAGAAGGAGCCTCACTTCACTTGTGCCTCAGACGGCCTGACTTACTACAACAAGTGCTACATGGACGCGGAGGCTTGCATAAGAGGCATCAGCTTGACGGTGGTGACCTGTCGCTACCACATCGCTTGGCCCAACACCAGCCCTCCGCCCCTGGAGACCACAGCCAACCCAACCTCCACCACCTCGCTGGAAGACCCAATCCCCCCGGCTCTCTACACCAACCCGTTCCACCAGTCGGTCTACGTCGGAGGCACTGTCAGCTTCCACTGTGACGTGAGCGGTCGCCCCAGGCCAGACGTGACTTGGGAGAAGCAGAGTGACTACCCTGAGAACATCATCATGAGGCCGGATCAGATGTATGCCAACGTGGTGGTGACCAACATAGGGCAGCTTGTGATCTACAACACCCAACAGCAAGACGCTGGCATCTATACGTGCACTGCCAGGAATGCTGCCGGGCTCCTCCGAGCCGACTTCCCGCTCTCGGTCATCAAGCAGGAGCACTCGGGGAGGTCTGCGCCCAAAAGCAAGGCTCCCTTCCCCGCGGCAGAGTGCCTGAAAGACCCGGACAAGAGGGACTGCGCCAACAGGCACGTTCGCTGGTTCTACGAGCGCTCCAAAGGAACCTGCTCCACCTTCATCTCGGGCGGCTGCGATGGGAACAGGAACCAGTTCGAGACGTACGAGGAATGTAGGTTGTCCTGCATGAACGACACGGTCAATATCTGTACGTTCCCCGCCGTCCAGGGCTCCTGCAAGATGTGGGAGGCACGCTGGGCTTACAACTCGCTCATGAAGCACTGCCACGCTTTCGTGTACGGCGGGTGCGAGGGCAACGAGAACAACTTCGAGAGCAGAGAGGTGTGCGAGGACACCTGCCCCTTCCCCAAAAGCCAGCAGTGTAAAGCCTGCAAACCCAGGCACAAGATCGTGCCCAGCTTCTGCAAGAGTGACTACGCCATCGTGGGCAAGGTGACCGAGATCTCGGAGGAGCAGGATTCAGGGGTGGCTCGTTTCACCCTGGACGAGGTGCTGAAGGACGAGAAAATGGGCCTGAAGTTCTTTGACTTCAAGCACTTGGAGGTGATCATGATCAACGTGGATTGGAACTGCCCCTGTCCCAACATCAGCCTGGTGGACGGCCCGCTGCTCATCATGGGCGATGTCCACGACGGCATGGCCGTGCTCGACTCCGAGAGCTACGTGCGAGCCGTCAATGAGAAACGCGTCAAAAAGATCCACGAAATCATCGAGAAAAAGACTTGTGAACTCCTGCACCGCTTCCAGGACTAGCTGGGGACCTCCTTCACTCTCTCGCCCACCAGATCTTCTCATAGATTCTAGTTCCTCAAGTTAACCTCGTTACCTCTTGTCTTAAAATCTAAGATGCAGAAACCGTTTGTATTTTTATTTATATTTCTGCCTCTCTCACCCCTTCCCTGCTCCCCCACTCACACGCACATCCACTCTTTATTCTCCTCTCCACCCCCCTCCACCCCCCTCTCAACCACCCCGTGCCGTTTACCAGAGAGCATTGGATGGACACAGTTCCTTGCATCCGCCAGTTCAGCTGATGGGACAATTATACAGCAATTCCATCATCATTTTGCATCCCAGTTCTGTACTGACGTGTGTTTGATAAAAAGAAAGGTATTTAAGCTAAATTCTGTGCCTTGGTTTTGCGTTGAGAAACTGAAAACGGGAAAGTAACCAAAATGCAAGTTGTTGTCATCCTTATTTAAACAACACCGACAACAACTTGCACTTATATAGCGCCGTCCAGGCAGGGTAGGTCTCCGAGCGCTTAAAGGGTGCAAGACACTCGGATGTTGGCTACAAGTGTCATCTGAGCACTGCTGCACATTTTATTGTCTCCTCGCACTCCTCTCAGACTTGGTCCGGCGCTGTGGTCCTTGATCCATCACCTATAACAATCCTCGCATTTGACACAGCGCCTCATCACGTCTTCGAGACGTCTCAAAGCGCTTCACAGGATACACTGTACAGTAAATGGACTGTGTGTTTTGTATCACCTGGGTTCTCAATCTCCCCCCCCCCCCCCCCCTCCCAGTAACCGGGAAATTAGTTCACGCATTTGAGTCTCAATCTACTCAAGTAACAGTGCTAAAATAAATTGTAATTCGGTTTAACGCAGAATTTTGTTTATGGTCAGTAATGAAGATTTTCACAGTGATGAAATCATGACCTATACCTCCACCTGCTGGCACCAGACGGTACAGCAGCGCGACACCATGGATCACAGAAACTCTGGACAGCATATATTCCGCAAATATAGAGCCGTTGTCAGTCCAAGGCTCATGGTGTTCATGTGGTTATAACTGCGCAAAACAAATGGGTAAAATTCCGTGGGGACCTTATCATTTTGTCAGCGTACGCTGCCAGCAAATTTGCACAATGGTAACAAAGTTCCCACGCACAACTGATAAAAGTTGACTGGAAAATTGTTGGTCAGAAAACTCGTTGACAATACCTCGGGTTAGCATTTCGCAGAGTCAGTCAGTGTCTTGCTCAAGAACTTGAACAAGCCACTGACTGACTCAGACTGACCGCTGCCTGTGAACTTGGACAGTGACCAAGAGGATTAAAGAGACAGTCACTTTATGGGGTGAGGCATTGGGTTGGTCAGTGCACCTTCCGCACCGACCTTGTGTAGGCATTATCTTATGCGAAGGGCACTATGAATGGAAGTTGTTCTGCTATAATCAGTTGTTCAGTAGCAAGGACTTAAAATACACACAGCGCTCATTAGCTCCAGAGTCTGCGTTGCACAATTCATATTTGAATGCACAGTCCATGATGTCGTCACAGCTCATTGAATGAGAAACCAAAGCAGGAATTATCTGATTTGGCGGCCGGAAAAGATGCACAAACGTTCCATTGTGACATTCTCACACATAACAGTGGGCAGGAAAGTGATCCAGACATTCCCAGACAGAGCACAACACAGATAACATTCCTGCCTCTCTCTCTCTCTCTCTACGCTGCCTCCACTATCTGCTCGTCTTGTTGCGGTTATGTTTTTTTTTTAGATTCAGGGATCAACCGTTTCCAAAAATGTGAAACTTGTTCGTGTATTTTTTCCTTCGAGCGCTCCGAGACTCCTTACGGCGAGAAGGACGCTGTTTAGGTACAAGTTGTTGTTGTTCCTCTCAAGATGTCAACTTCTAGTGGGGGGTCACGGTCCCAGACAGCGTTCGCGCAATTGACTCGCGTTCAAACGATGAGTATTTGGGGTGGGGGCGGGAATTGACTGCCTGATCCATTCAAAAAGTATAATTTCACAAGACGTTTCTTATTCGCCCACAAAATATACAGTCAATTCACTTTACAGTACATTCTGTGAAACGCCTTGAGGAGTCTCGAAGACGTGATCAGGCGCCGTATCAAATGCAGGGACTATTAGGTCAGCCGCCTGTCTTGACGCACGCGGAAACCCATCACTTTGCTTAAGAGTATCCAAAACCGGACTGAGAGTGCTACGTACGTATACCATCTACACATGAACATTTCTGAGTGTCCTGAAAGATAGGTGCACTCGCTACCCGGAGAGACGCACCCTCCTTGCCTTACTCCAGTGAGTATTTTATGTAACCAGGCATAAAAGACAATGTCAGGAGTAAACTGACTATTTGAACTTTAATCTGGGGCCACGGAAATGTCTAATGGGCTATCAAGTTTACTCGGCATCAGCGAGCCAAGTTTGCTAGGCATGAACTCGCCATTAACTGCGCTGAAGTGTAATTTCTCTCTTCGAGGTTTTTTTTTTAAAAAAAGGTTTATACAAGCAAAAATAAATAAGACTCAAATCATTGTATCATAGGTTTAAAAAAAGTGCTTTTTGTCACATACCTAATGGGGGATACAATTCATGTTACAGTACAGAGATACTCACAATGACTGGTTTTAAACTGCACAATTTACAAGTTAACCAGTATTATTTTGCAACGCGGAACAATCCCGATTAACATTGCTCACGAAAACATTCCAAGAAATATTTCTTCCCGACTCAGCCCAAAATAAGAGGTGGGGGGAAAAAAAGTAATAAATAATGCATTTGTGTAAGAGCTGAAAATTAATCTCTGCCCTTGATATTAATCTATAATATCATTAGAGTCCTCAATTACGGCTTTGTTTACTGGTGTGGTGCCTCTGCGATTGGCAATGCAATACAGTGCAGGAATGCAGTACAATTCAGCAGAGCTGAACCGAATGGGTTCTGAGCCCTTTCCCTAGCCCCCCACCCCCATCACACAGCCCCCACACTTCTCCCCCCCCCACCCCATCTCCCCATCCCCCTTGAGATGTGGGACACTTCTCAGCTTGCTATCTCCAGTAACGTTTAGTCCAGAGATACAATGCAATACAACACCAAATCACATTTACACAGGTCCTTTCACGTCGGAAGGACGCCCAAGGCGTTGGATAGTCAGGGATTTGGACCCGAGCTGTGGGGGGGGGAGGGGGGGGAGAGGGTTGGAGTAAGGAAGGGGTTGAAGACAGGGAGGGTAAGAGGTAAGAGGATGGCCAAAGCACGGTCGAAGAGGAGGGTCTTGAGATGTGCCTTGAAACAAGCAAGGGAGGGGATGAGGCGAAGGGAACGTGGGATGGAGTTCCAAAGCGGCTGAGCTACGAGAGAGAAGCTTCGTCTTAAGAGAGCTACACAGTCACCATACCGTTCCCAGAAAGGAAACCTCAGTGAGGTGCGACTACATTAAAAAACTGAAGCGTTTCCCCAGGTTGAGAGAACGCAAAGGAAGTTAGGAGCCCGTTGTAATTTCAAACGGGGAACGTGCTGCCTTTCGAAGGGGAAATTAGACGAGCATTTAAAAAGCGAAAGAAACAGATTTTAAAACAGATGCGTGTGGGGGGAAATATTAGTTCAGATTAAACCGGCAATTATAGGGGCGGGGAGGCCAGGGTGGGGGCAGGGCATGTTATATTAAAATAGCGAAGAACATTTTCTAACAGGTTTTAGGAAAACCTCTTCTACCCCAAGGTTCGGAATCGGACTACAGAATAACACAATTGCTGCACTTTACAGTACATCCTGTGAAACGACGCTGAGCTTTATCATTGTATCATGTATCAAACGCGACGATTAAATTATTGGTTTCTTAAATTAAATCAACTCCCGGGCGAGGAGGGGTGTGATGGGTGGGGGGGAAGTTAGAGATGAGCTTGATCGCCGAACAACCTTTTCACCTCCAGCTTCCGCTCAGTTCCCACTCCAGCACACGGCAGTGTGTACGGCTCAGCTGGGTTTTACAGTCAATGTTCCTCGAACACAGCCCAACGCTACATCGGTACAATATAGTCTCACGAGGCACATTGGTCCTTCTTTGCACAGAGTCTGTGTTAAAATAAAAGCACCCCCTCTCCCTTCCCCCACTCCTCCCCCCACCTCAAGGCGATTCAAAGATTCCCTTTCTGCGTGGGGAAGTCATGGGGTTTGACCAGTTTACAGGGGATGAGGATTGCAGGCGAGTCGATTTCGTCCCGCAGCTTGTTGGCATGGCTGCCGCTGGATTTGCTGCGGCTGTTCTCCACGGTGGGGGCCAGGGGGAAATTGCTGGCCGCGGTGCCCCCCAGGCAACAGCAGAGCAGCTTGAAGAAAGCCGCTCGCATCTCCTTGCTGGACAGGGTGTAGATGATGGGGTTGATGGCGGAGTTCAGCACGGCTAGAGCCACGCACCACTCCGCGTAGTACAGCAACTTGCACTGCTGGGGGCTGCAGGCGACGTCGAGCATCAGGAAAATGAAGAGCGGAGCCCAACAGGCTATGAAGACCCCAAGGACTATCACCACCGTCCTCAGCAGTGCCATGGCTCTCTCCGAGTGGCTGCTCTTGACCTTCTTCCGTGACGTCACCTTGCGGCTGCTGTCGTTGACTAGCCTGTAGATACGCACGTACAGGATGACTATGGCAAACAGGATGATGGTGAGGATGGTGATGCAAAAGGTCAGGTAGCTTTTAGAGTACAGAGGTAGGACGGTGGAGCAGGTGTGGAGGCTGCCGATACAGTTCCACCCGATGATGGGGAGGATTCCCAGGATGACGGACACTATCCAGCAGGCACCCAGCAACAGGAAGAGCCGGTATTGTCTCTTGGCATCGTAGGGCCTCATCTTGACCATAGTCATGTGCCTCTCGATGGCGATAGCCAACAAGCTGAAGGTGGAGGCACACAAGGCCATAAACAAGCTGCCTTCTCGAACGAACCATAGATTGGGAGTCAAGTGAAGAGTGTTTTTGCCCGACAGGAAGATGTTGACCACATAGGCCACCCCAGCCAGCAGATCAGACAGAGCCAAGTTCCCAATGAAGTAATACATGCGAGTGTGAAACTTCTTGTTCTTCCAAATGGCGACGAGGACCATCATGTTCTCAATGACGATCAACAGGCAGGACAACAGAATGATCACCACCTTGACGTTGACGAAACTGCCCTCCATCCTCCTCTCCAACTTCCCCGAAAAGTTGTAATGTCTAATGATGATGTCGTTGAGAGGCAAGGTGTTGACCAGACCCATGTCTGTGGCGGTTTTGGCTGATAACGCACGGTTGAGAGGAAGGATGGCAGTTTCCTCTTGGCTTCTCACTGAGATGTCTCGTGCACCAGAGGGCGCCACTGGCCCATCACACCGCACCACTCGTCTGGTCCACTTCACCTCAGAACTGAAGTCCAGGGTTTGGTTTGCAGTCCACCGCTCTGTCACCACGGCACAGAATGGTATAAATATTCTTCACTGGAACGATAGTTTTCAAATGAATTGTAAGTAACATTGTCAAAACGGGATTTTGTCTCGTGCGAAGCAAATCCCCCCCACCACCAGGATCTCAAATGGATTATATGTCAATTAATTTACACTCCTGTTAACTGATCCCAAGGTCACGTCCCTACTATTTCAATGAAGACGGTCACACTTGGAACGCAATCAGGGCTATCGTTCAGCGGTTACTGCGCTGTGAGAATGTAGTCAATGCGGTTACCTGCGTGTGATCTGATCTCTGTGAGATAACTGGGCGTCTGATTCCGTTTAATTTTCTAGATTATAGTTTTATCTGTTCAAAAGTTTTTGAGCCAGACACCCCAGAAAACAGAAGGAAATAAAACAGGCGACTTCTGCAAGGCATGAAGCCAATTATCAGAAAGCTGTAAGGATCGTTAAACAGGAGCACCTTCAATTAACCCTTTAACCAAGAATTAGGGATCGCAGCCAACGATGGCCCCCCAGATAAAATTGGTCATTCGCTTCACGGCTGTTTGTTCATGGGATGTTGCAGTGTAGAAAGGGCACACTTCTTAAATAGACAGGCAGGCACCATTTGCACAGCGTTGCGGTTTAGGACGTCTTCCCGCCGTGAAAGGCACACTGTACAAATGTAATTTGTTGTTGTTCGCCATAGTCATTACGCTATCTATAAATCCCGTGAAGCACTTTCAGACATCTAGATGATGTAGTAAGGCGCTATATCAAATGCAACTACAGCAATGACTTACATTTGTGTAGCGCCTTCCACGTCGGAAGGACGTCACAAGGCGTTGGTTTATTATGATAACAAATGTAAGGATTATTATATTTAGAATTATTTAGAGTTCAGAAGAAATCCATTCGGCTCATTGTGTCTTGGCTGGTTCTCTGGAAAACCTATCCTTGAGTCCTATTCTCCTTCCTTTTCCACCTCAATCGCAAACAGTGGAAAGAAACCACAAGAAAGCTCTTTTCCCCCCCCCCACCAAAAAATGACATTTACATTTATCGGTCAGGATAATACTGATATGGTTAGTACATTCTCCCACTAAGTAAGCTGAGAACTTTATAGTCAATTAACTTTACACTTTATCCTGTGAAGCGCTTGGAGATGTCTCGATAAGGCGCTATATCAAATGCAAGGATTATTAATATATTATATTACCTAATAATTATCGTTACATAGCTGCTAAACACAAACAGAGGCTGGTTCTCTTTTTAAGAAGTACAGTTTGCCTTTATTCCTATTTAACACAACTGTAGATCAATTTGAACAACATCACAGTATATTCTGTGAAGCAGTTTGAGACGTCTGGAAGACGTGAAAAGTATATCAAATGCAAGGATTATTATTATTATTATTATTATCACAGCACCAGTTTGCCAACATCAAGCTTTCTGGAAAATCCTCCCCAAAACTCGAGGTGACTTTTTGCTCACTCATCGCCAGAAATCTGCCGATGCAGCCACTTTCATTTGGAAATGGCAAACCGAGTTCGCTAACCAACTGTGCGCAAAATGCGCAAACTGCTCTTTACCATTCCTTGCCCGAGTGTCCAAAGCAATATCCAGTCGCGACGCGTGTGTGTGTGTGTGTGTGTGTGTGTGAACGCAATTAATATTCGCTTACACTTCATCTGGTATGCTTAGTTAGCAAATAACTGACCGTAAGTAACTTAAGCATGCATGAAAATATCGCGTGTTTTTTTAATGAACTATTATGAACCCATTTCTTTATTAAGCAAAAAAGCATTCATAACTGCTAAATATTTACCATCATTGTGATTTTACAAGCGTGCTCCTCATCTACAATCCAGTTTCAGAACATATATTTACCCGCATTCACCTAATATACATTTCTCCTTTGCAAAGAGCAGACAGTTGTTACACTAGAACTTACCAAAAGTTGCAGGAACAAAGTTAGGAACCATTCCACGCACCTTTAAGCTCTCTCTCTCTCTCCACACAGAGCACAAGTGGTTTGAAATGAACTAATGTGCACAGGAGCCAATCAGTCAGTCAGTCAGTCAGTCTCACTGCCTCTTTTTACACTTTCAATGTATGTTTAAGTCGCAGCAAAAACAATCAAAAAAGTCGAGTTGTGGACCAATCACTCGCTAAAGGAAACTTCCTCGCGTCTCAAACTGGAGTTGGATGTCACTAAGTGGCAAGTTCTAGCCCTGGTCTCTCTCCTTATTGAGGAGGTGCCAGCCCACACACTCTCTCTCTCTCTCTCCCCGTCTGTCTGTCAATCCTACTGAAACAGCCAGCCAGCCCAATACAACCCTCCCACAAGTCCCGTGTTAGGGACAAACCCTTGTCCTTATCCAGCCAGCAGTTAACAGTTGACTTTCCTGGCGATTTGTAAATCGTTTCTTTCCATTGGACATAACCCTCTGGGTAACCGGAGAGGATGGCTCATCTGTTCAATCGCCAATAGAAACGGCGCTTTAACCCCTTAAGCGCAGAAATGTCTCTCTCTTTCTCTCGTCTTTTTTTGTGTGTGGTTCTTCAAACCCGCAGTTCACTCTTATCTTCGCTAAGCTCGCAAGGGACGCTGTTGCGAGCTGGTGTGCCCAGCAAAAACTTTCTTAGGTGAAGCCTTCAAAGGTATTTTCGGACGCAAAGCATAGAGACGACAGCACACAAGTTCGTGGCAAATTTCTACCTTTCTATTCCCCTCTCCCTCGTGTGAAGGTCCAGCGTCCTCTTGAATACATGTTTTGTAAAGTGTGTTAGCACCTTGCATTTAGGAGGGAGTATAAACTCATGTGGAGTATAAAATACAACAATAATAATCCTTGCATTTGATATAGCACCTTATCACATTAAAGCGCTTCACAGGATATATAATGGAATGTGAATTGACTGTATCTTGTGGGTGAAATATTGAATGTGTATTTAAAATGTTTTTCGGGGGTATTTTAGCTGGTCAGACTCCAGCAGTTATCCCAACGCACACTCTGGGTTCCGCAAGCCTTGGCTCTTGCCAACCTGTGCCTAATACTTTCCGTAAGCAGGATGTGTCCCTCCAGGGAGAGAGAGAGAGTGTGTGAGAGAGAGAGAGAGAGAGAAAGAGAGTGCACACTCCATTCCAACAATCTATCCGTGGGATTTTCCATGTGTAGTGATGCAGGGAATTCTCAGTTTGGTTTGGAGACTCTTAAGCACGGTGATGGGTTTCCACATGTGTCAGACACCCGGCTGACCAAAAAAAAAGCAGCAGAAAATCAGTTATAAAGCTATGCCTGTCATTGGAGGAGACAGATTACCGTACGATTAGAAACTGGTTGGCCCGGGAACACCAGAGATTATCTGGGTCCGCCAGCCACCTAAGAGTTAGCACAATTCCATCATACCGCAGGGCTCCGTGTCTCCCTCTCAAGCCTGCCCTTGATTATACCAACAGCAAAAAGTAAGATCAACAGGAAGAGAAAAGGAACAGTAAAACCGATGAGAAAAATAACATCCAATTCTTTGAGAAGTATTTTTCCCCCTCCGAAGAGGAAGCTTTTTATGACATTCTCTTTTTTGGGGGATCAGCCGGATGCCTGACTCATGCAGAAACCCATCGCCGTCGCTTAAGAGTATCCAAACCACACTGAGACTTCTATGCAGTCCCACCTACACGTGGAAATCCCAAAGATAGAGAGAGATTGCGATTCTCTTTAATGAGCTGCGGTTGAAACTGTAAACGTAATGTCTGAGCAACATGGAGAATCACATGAAGTCTGTTAAACAGGGACTGATCAGGAGGGGTGTAGGTGAGTCTCTGGTCTGGGGTAAGTTATCTGATCTCAGCTGCGGTGAGGGGGCTTATGCAATCAATGTCCATACCCTCTGGGCTGGGTGGATGGTAAGGGGGAATCACCCAGGACTTCAGCCAATTTTGCACATGGCAAAGAGCCACAAATAGCCATGAAACGAGTGGCCAATTTTATTTGAGGGATTGTTGGCCAGGACACCGGGAGAAACTCCCTCCTCTTTTCAAACAGTGCCGTGGGTTCTTAGACATCTGCCTGAACAGGGCCAGATTTGGTTTAACGTCTCATCAGAAGTGTGGAACCTCCAACCGTGCAGCTCCCCCCCAGCACTGCGCACTGGAGTGTCAGCTTAGACTACGAGTTCCCGATGTGGGGGCTTAAACCCACAACCTTCTAACCCAGAGGCGAAAGCACTACCGCTGAGTCAGGCTGACACTGTAACAAAGCAGAATGTGAGAGAGGCAGGAAATTGCACATCAGATGGACTAAGTGAGTTACATTCCCTGCTCCCACCCTGTCAACAGGGAGTTGATGCTCCTTTGGATAACAGCAATGAAATATAATCCACCCACATTCTGTGGTTTGCAAACACCCCCAACAGGATACAACCTTCCCTCCAGGTTCTGTCTGATTGTAACACGATAAAGTAGATTTCTGTTACGGGCTGTGGATTAGTTCTTGAAGTTGCTGCTCTTCTTCTCTTGGAAAAAAAATTTCTCTCGTGGAAGGCAGCACTGGCTGCTCATACAGTGTAGTAATAATAATAATACCACTAATAGTAATCCTTGCATTTGATTATCATGTTGTAAGGATGTCTCAAAGCGCTTCACAGGATTTACTGTGAAGAGACAACTTTCTTCAGCTCAACGTGCGAAAAACCGAGGCCCTCCTGATTGGCTCACGTCAGCGCCTCCGCACCTCAGGCGCTGACACCATCAGCATCCAAGGCTGCACTCTCCACCTCGCAAAGCCAGTCAGGAACCTCGGCGTTTTGTTCGACCCTGAGCTGTCCTTTCTCCCTCACATCCGCACCACAACTGGCACCGCCTTCCATCACCTTCGGAATATCGCCAGATTACGGCACTACCTCACCCCTCACGCCGCTGAAACCCTGGTTCACGCCTTTGTCACCTCAAGGCTGGACTATGGGAACTCTCTCCTCGCCGGCCTTCCCGCCACCTCCCTCCACACTGCAGGTCATCCAGAACTCTGCAGCTCGTGTACTGTCCCGCACCAGGCTTCGGGACCACATCACTCCCACCCTCGCTCGCCTCCACTGGCTCCCCATCCCCCAGAGGATTGATTTCAAGATCCTCATCCTCACCTACAAGGCCATTCACGGCCTGCTCCCTCCTACCTCTCCAACCTACTATCCCCCTACCTACCTGCCCGTACCCTCCGTTCCTCTGGCTCCGGTCTGCTCCACATCCCCCGCCCCAACCGCCCTACTATCGGTGGTCGGGCCTTCAGCCTCTCAGCCCCCAGGCTCTGGAACTCCATCCCCCAGTGCCTTCGCCGCTTCCTCCCTTTCCTCCTTCAAGGCCGGTCTCAAAACCTTTCTCTTTGACCGTGCCTTCAGCTCCCCTCTCGACTCTCTACCCCCTCCTCGCTCCCTCCCTTCCCTCCCCTCACCCTGACCATTTCCCCCCTCCTCTCTCCCTCCCTTCCCTCCCCTCACCCTGACCATTTCCCCCCCTGCTCGGGTCATGACCCAACTGTGCAGCGCCTTGGGACGTCCTCCTGACGTGAAAGGCGCTCTATAAGTGGAATCTTGTTGTTGTTGTTGTTGTGTATTTGTAGGCAGCCATTTTTGCGCACAGCAAAGTGCCACAAACGGGGATTGTAAAACTAATTAACAACAACAACAACAAAATCACATTTGTATAGCGCCATTTAACGTCGGGAGGACGTCCCAAGGTACTGGACAGACAGAGTTACGGACCCGAGCTGGGGGTTGGGTGGGGGAGTGGGGAGGGCAGGGAGGGAAGCAGAGAGATCGAAAGCACGGTCAAAGAGGAGGGCCTTGAGGTGAGTCTTGAAGGTGGCGAGGGAGGGGGCGAGACGGAGGGATTGCGGGATGGAGTTCCAGAGGATTTAGACAGTGCAGTGTGTGTCCTGTCACACCTACGCTCACTCCAGTTTATCATGCCAGCGTTCGAGACAGACTAATACCCTTTGGATCGAAACTAAAATTGAAATAATACTTTTTTTAAACAAGATACAGTAAAAAAAAAGTCACTTATTCCATGGCTATTTGTGGCACCATTGTTTTACCGCATTTGCCTACAAATACATTGCCGCCCCATTTCGCTTTAATTCCTGTGAAGGTGTCTGACCCTGTCCTTCTGACATGAGAAGATGCTGTACCAAATGCAAACATTACTATTATTATCGTTGTTGTCACACTGCTCAGGTGGGTGTTGTCATCACATTTGTGGCCAAGATCTTATCACATCATTTGAAAAGGTTATTATCCAGATAGATTGTTCGTTCGTTTCTTGGTCGATTGTGGGACCTTTAGCAGTGTTTGCAAATTGGCTGCTGTATTGACAATACAAAACAAAATTACATTTACACCTTTCATGTCGGGACGAAGTCCCAAGGCAATGAACAGTCAGGGATTTGCACCCGGGCTTGGGGGTTGGGACCAGGGAGGGTGGAGGGTAGGGAGGGTAGGTGTAGGAGAGTGGCCGAAGGCGTGGTCGAAAAGGACGGCCTTGAGACGTGCCTTGAAGGAGGCGAGGGAGGGAGCGAGGCAAAGGGAATGTGGGATGGAGTTTGCTGCAATAAGAACAAAAAATAATCCGGTCGCTCAATCCACGACTGTTTGTGGGACGTTGCTGTGCGCAATCGGTTGCTGCGTTTCGCCCACAAAATGGTCACTACACTTCACAGTATATTCCTGGAGGACGCGATAAAGTGCAGTATCAAATGCAAGGATTATTACTATTATTGTTTACTATAAATTCAGTTGCAACATTTGATACTGTGAAGCGCCTTGAGATGTTTTGGACTTGACAGTTAGGGTTTCAAATGCGATTTTATTGACCAAGTCAAGTAGCTTCGTAAGAATGCGGTCATTCAGAGACATCTGTAGACGCTGGTTAGAAATGCTATAAGTGAGGAAATATAGCATGGCACATACTACCCTCTAAAGCTCCAGCAGCCCCTCCCTCCCTCCCCCGCAAACCACCACTTTGAACCTCAACTCAACAACGCCCCCCTAACATCCCCATCCCCATCCCAGGCAAGACTGCTTATGTTTAACCAGCTCCCCAGGGATCTGAGCAACTGCAGTTGGAAATACTTTCCCAAGATCAGGAAAGACTGGAGAAAGTTGAGGGCTCCCAAGTGAATTGCGAATTGCAGTGCGCTGCTCTCTGCAGGAAAAGGTCCCAGCTGTCAGCTACAGTCTGCCGTGACGCTGACCGGTCCTCACAGCAGGGCTGTGGAAGGCAGTCAGTCCAAAGCATTGGGAAATCTGCCTTCCTCGTGAATCAGCCCAGCCAGGGCACTGCTGCCTAAATGTTCCACCAGGCTCATAATTACTAGCAGCAGTGAGG